AAATTTCAGCATTTTTCAACAAATCCTCTTCGAGATGTCCATCTCTGAAAATATTGGCGTTTTTCTATAGAAGTTGCATATCTTGAGAATTTCATATCTCAATGAAAGATTGTTCAAAAATGCTGAAATTTGTTTTATGTGCTAGTCTCATTGAGGTTTTCATGTTTACAAAGTTTCAGGTCGAAATTCAAAAATTTGATTTTGCTTCGAAAGTAAGATCCTGCAGAGAAAGCTTACTGAAAAATCGAATATCTCTGTCCAGGTAAGCCATGGGTAGCTCATCTTTTAAATACGTTAGTTTCTCGATGAGAGTGATCATTTCCCCGGAACAAGGTCAATTTTACTGCTTAACAGTTCACAACCTTCCATTGTAAGTCCAAAATAGATTTACTATAAATATCATTATAGATAAGAAATCCCACTATTTATCCGTGCAACAATCTCTTGAATGTTAATTGGTTTATAAAATTGTCAATAACGATTGCAGAACTTTTGGTCAGACCTAAGCAGTTCAAGATATAGCTATAGCGAGAACTTGAGTATGGCTCGATAGCAGAATTTTGCGCAGACACTCTCATTTAATTATTTTATTGAAGGCAGTATCATTTTTGTGATTGTAAGTATTTCATTTTGTTTTAAATTCATTCATTTTATAAAGCAGTAAAACTGAAATGTATTCTTGTATTCTAATATATAACTTACACCAAACTGGTCAGAACAGATATTTTACATTTGAATAAAATGATGATTAACAATGTTTGTTGAGTTTTAAGATATGATTGAAGTTTTTCCTCGTATCCCTCCAGTTTTCGCAGCCATTGGACAGATTTTTAGATAGCGCAATTAAGTCCTCGGCGACTATTGTTTGCGTGTGAGTGTAGGTGGGAGTATGAGTTTTCTAATGAGTCAACGGAAAATACTCTTCCAACCATAGGGAATTTTGCAAATATGCAAACCAGTATCTATACATAGATTTAGCATTTGCGCATAAAAATGATACGACATGTAGCAAGGAATCTGTAAAAATTAAAATATTCTAATGATCTCAAATAGGATCGAAATTCTAAGTAGAGTTGATATAAATAGCAGACACAAGTTGAATTTATTCAATGCGCAATTGTTTCATGTGAGTAACGAGATTTTCCATTGTTGATGGCACAGTTTCTTCTTCATCCTCATCGTCGTCCGATGATGTAGCGATTAAATCCTGACTTTCTTTGTTTTCTTTATGAGCTCGATTGGCTGCTTCCAATCGTGCTTTTAATTTTTCTTCGAAGACCTTTTGGCGTAAATGAACAAAATCATATTGACTCAAATCGTAATCTTTTGCGTGTTGAACTATTGATATGGTTAGATCATTGGCTTTCGGATCGAATAGTGGTAACGATGGATCCAATCTTAGATATCCATAGATGTCGGCAACTTTCTTGCTGTTGAGTAAGCCTTCTCGAATATGCTTCATTAGGCTTAAAGCGAATTGAAATAGAAAAATATTTGATGCTTCAATCAAAGATTGAGTGACATGAGTGTCGAAAAACAGGAAGAGTGCTTCGAACGGCAGAACACCGACGCACAATGTAGTAAACCATTTTTGAGCGTAAGTTTCGGGGAAAATATAATTTTTGGCGAGATGTTCGTGAATTTCTGGCTCATGATTCGCGAGAAGATAGTCAAATACGTAAGCATCGATAGCGAATGCAACAGGTTCTGCAGTCCAATAGCCGACGAGAACAGTACGATGAAGTTGACGCATAGTTTCGATCACTTTGGACGGCGAATGAGTGAGCAGAAGAAAACCAGCTACATAGGACATTGCCTGATGATAGGAGCCGAATTCGTTTTGAAGACATGATAAAACTTCCATCAAAGTTCTTTGTTGAGCGGGACCCACAAATGTACGCTCGGCATCATGACGAATAATTCGTTCGTAGTTCAAACTTCCAGTCGAAGTTTCCTCAATGTCATCATCGATGCGCTCAAGAATTTTCGTAGAAGGTAAAAATGAGTAATTCAAACGTAGAATAGGTGCTTCACGTTCCTCTTTCCAAAAATCGACTCGTCGCAACATTTTGATTTGGACACCAGTACATTCACCAATTATTTGATGTTTTCTTTTTCTTCAAGCCTTCTGGTGTTTAGAGTACTTTTGCAATTACATGATTCATTCATCTATCATTCTTTACGTGTGTTCTTCGTGTTAGCCAGATGGCAGTGTTTGATGATACTATCAGTGTTCTAAAAAATTCAGGCCTATCAAATATACTACTAAAAAGAAAATAGACGACAGCAGATTGCATACATAATGTTGTTATGTCTCGCTTATATTGAGCCCCTCACCAAAACTGAGCGGAGTAGATATAAGGGAAATTGCCAAGAACGTATATAAAAAATGTAGAAGAACATCGAAAGCGAATATTTATTGTTGTGCTTGTCGTCAATTTCCTGGGAAAATTCAGTTCGACGCAATCAGAGATGAGCGAGCATGTGTGCATGTGAAGAATGGAACCATTCTCTTCTATCCACATTCTCATTTATATGTATCAATATAGGATATTATGGCCCCGAGTTATTCTATACATGCCATTTTTTCTCGCAGCACCTATTCGGAGACTATCATTACAGATAAATCAATTCATATTTCTTCCGCTCGTCATATACGATTATCAAGCAAGCTAAACAGAAATTCTACGCAATCACTTACAAATTCTAAATTCTTTTTACACTCAAAAGAACACCATTTATTGACACACACTGATAGTAACAATAAATAGTCAGACGCTCAGGATCAATACAATTTGACAATTAGCATTATCTATACTCTTATTTGAAACATTTTGAATTAAAACTTTTAAATGTTCTTGAAACAAGAAAAGTCACTTACGTAGTTTATTGAAATTTTAATGCTAACTACATTGTTCTGGAAACATTAAGTCAATAGTAGCAGTTGACCGTGGCAGCTACTCATGTTTGTTATTATCTACTTTCTGTTCGTCAAAGAGAATTTTCGGCATAGTTCTAATGCGTTTGACACGAATAAGGTTTGGCGATTGTTTGCCCCCATTGTTATCAGCAGCAACAACTGCGTTCAGTTTCGAATTAGCCGACTTTAAATGGATGGTATCAATTTGTGAGATTGGAGACTCACTTGCATTTCGTAAAGCACTTATTGGGGAGGCTTTCACATGTATTTTGCTGTCATTTATTTTCATAGAGCGTGTTAGTTGTATGTTTTTATCGAGTTCATCTAAACGAATAGCCGTTGCGACAATCGATGAGCGGATATCATCAATGGCAGTTGTTTCTGTTTTTATTGGATGTGCAGACACATGTGTGACACGTACGAGATCCATGTTAGCAATGCTACTAATTACGTCTTGGCAATGTTTTTCTATGATTATCAGCTGTATTCTGGTGTTTGGATAGGTTTTCATCAAAAATACTTGATCTTCGCTTTGGTTTAAGTTTCGTAGAAGAGGTATGATCATGTTTTTTTCTGATGGAAATGAACCGTTCGCAAATGTGTCTCTGCTTTTTCTTGTTCAGATGACATATTTAATGATTGTTCATTCAGATTCGATGCAGTTGATATTGTTTCGATCGTTTTATCTGTTGGAGCGGAGAGAGTGGTCATTGGCTTTTGCTCAACACTTCCACAGGGTTTTGCTGAAAGATCATTTAGTGTAGCATGTGTAACATGTTCAAACTATTTTCTTTCTTATTTCATGGAAATTTTTGGAGAAATGCTTGATCTAATCGTACTTTTGTCAATTTCACTACGTGTAAGATGACTCCGTGAAGTAACATAAGAAACAATAGTAGATGATTCCTCGTTATTGATATTAGTAGTTTTGTTAAATTTGTATCATTTATGGCGACAATTACGATTAGAGTATCTACAACATAAATGAAAAAGTATATTATTTTGGTATATTTACTTGGAACATACTTTTTATAGCAACACACTAAGCAACAACTAATGGTTAGAGCCAATATAAAACTTAGGCCGACGAGTATTCGAATCAGTTTTGTATTATTAGTTTCTCCTAAATAATAAAGAAGGAGAATAAATTACTAGGAAATATTTAACAAATCCATTTAGGAACCTGCTGTCGAGATTTTTGTTATTGTTGTTGTAATGTATGTAACTCCGGGACATGTATTCTCACCATTTTCTGTGACATAGAATGTAAAGCAATATTGTAGTGATTGTGAATTTTGGCTAAAACAAAACCGAAATGTAATTTTTTGAACTAGTGACTTCAATTAAAATGTACCTGTCGAGAGCAATTGCACACATTACTTGATAGCCAATTTGGTTTGTAGTTGGTTTCCATGTCAAATTTTTATAGTAAATGCTAGAATTAAATTTTATTGAGAGACGTCTGAATCATGCCAGAAAAAGACTACGTTGAGATATCAATAATAGTGACAATTGTTCCACAATTATTGATCGCTAATAATGTTGACGTGAGCGTTTGATTGACTTTGAGTGGTGTACATGAATCTGCAAGAAGTAACACCTCTGGTTGATAGACGCATGATGATGCAGCAATAACTTTTACAAGAAATTGTGCTGGTACTGAACTTAGCGGTGTCATACTCGATGCATTCAAGAAGTCTTCTACCTATGCATGAAGAAGAAAAAAAGAAAAATCAATACTGTTTTCGGCAATGAAAAATAGCAAAAATAATCATGAGTTCAATAGCAAATTTGTTGTCAACTACTTGGCCAGTAATTAAAATAGTACAGTTTGAATAGATCATTGTATTTGTTGGCAGTGAACTTGGTGGACAAACAGTATCCCATTCATCAACACCATTGGATGATGTTGCCAAACGGCAACGCAAGTTGTCTCCATCAGCATCACTCACTGGTATTATTATACTTGTTGTTTCGCTTACTTTAATAATGATTCGGGACATCACAGTAGAAACTGGAGCATTATTGTACTTGCCATTATCCATTCTTGACACTAGATTAATGTATGTTAAAATTGACCAAGTGCTTCCGCCTGCTGTTAAAGCACCCCACGAACCACCTCGAAAAGATAGTGAAACATCACTACCATTTGGAACATAAACTGTATTTAAACGTTGTCCAATAGTGATACCGTTTGATACTGAGACATCGGTGCAATACGGTGTAGAAGAAATAGTTCTCAAGCCAGTAGGGCAAGTATAGGCACACAAACTAATGATCCTACTAAATGTATTCAACGAACTGAATGAGCTTCTTGATTCAAGACAATGATCTGTGCACTCTGAGAGAGAGAGAGAGAGAGAGAGAGAGAGAGAGGAATGTTTAAGTGCAATTATCAGAGACTTTCGATCAAAGCGAGTAAATAATTCATCAATAATATTATCGCTGATTTTCCTTTTCATTGATGTTGTTGCATACAATTATTTTTCTACGTAAAATTATTTCGTCGCTAAAGAAACTAAAGTTAATCTCAAAATGTTTTTTTTAAGTTAAATTTGATTATCGAGCGTCCTTCAAAATGAAAAAGAGCGAAATATTGAATAAAAACAAGTCATCTGTTGTTTCAATAACAGATTACTTTTTACAATGAGTAGATTTCATAAAGCAAGCTGACAGATGAATTGTACACTCAGCAGTAAGTTGTGCTGCTCAATAATGGTGAAATATCAATTAGAGAAGCATCTGGTAGAAAATAAACTAGTATTTTGAAGGAAATCTTCAAGGGTTTTAGAAGGTTTCTTTATTTAAAAAAGAAATAGAGTCTTGAATCTAATTTTCTACTTAGTAATTGAAGTATATTCACAGAAGAATCCTTTAATTTTCTCCAATTAATATATTCAGTTCGGCATTAGATGGCTACCGCATGGTGTTGTATGTGCTGATTTCTACTAGTGGCTGATTGTTGAAGAGCAATAGCCAACCTATTCAATACGGTTATGTTGCTGATGTGTTGCTATTTATTGTAAAACATTTTTGTTATTTTTTGTACTGTATTTTAACAAGATTTTAAAATCGACATGTTAGTGCAGCATGATAATTCAACTCAAGAATTACTGATATCATAACTAGTAGGAGTTTTAACTTGGGCTGCCATCAGAACTGAAAATGAAACAAAATTGAGATAATAATTAATCGCTATGCTTTTGAAAAACAGATCTTCAATCAACAAACAATAAAAATATCTGCTAATTAGGATGGTTTGATTAATTCTATTCTTATTGCGAAATAAGGAAGTGAAATTAAACTTTACAAAACTCAAACTGACAATTCTAAAGCTATTGATCATTAGAAGAATTGTTTAGTTAAATTCAAAAAACATGGAAGTAGACAAATTTACTAAAACAGCAATGTAAATTGCCAATGACAGTGCATTTTACAGGCACACAAATGAATTAATATAGAAATATCTTTTGAATGAAAATTACGACGATGGCATATTCTATCGGCAATTATGTTATCTTTCTATCAATGTTTGGAAAAATATCTGAGCTGCTGTTGATTTAGGATTGTTCCGCTTTGTATGCTACAGGAATTAATTAATGTATTCGTATCCCTCATAAAAAAAGTAGGCAGAAGTCGTCCTAAAAATTCGATGAAATCGTTCGCTACATGTTTTTTAAATTTCTCAGTGGTAAATTTAACGAAGTAGTTGAGCGGTACGAAAATACTTTCTAAGTTGATATTTCATATTTAACTATCTTCTTTTTCAACTTATAAACTTTAACTTCTCTGCAAATTTTTCAAAAAAAAAATTGTCTATTTTCTCTTTTCGTCTTTAGGATTTGATTGACGCTTGAATGATTTGATCATCTGAAGGATTATTTCTGAAAAATAAGCAGTAATAAAAATCAGAAGGGCTCTTACATAAATATAGAGAAATTACTTAATGCAAATAAAAAATTCTATTCTCAATTCCTGTAGCTCTAATTTGATCCGGCTTTTAAAAGAATATTTCATACGTTTTGCCTGTAATTCTTGGATAGGATTGAAGTATGTTTTAATAAATAAATTTTGAAGAAATATTGATTCGATTGCAAATAATATAGATAGTTATCTTTTACGTCTTTGCAAAATAGACTTTGTGCGATGATCTACGTTACAAAATTATGTAAAAAAAGAAAGATCTTGTTCTTGAGTAAATATCGAAATTAATCCTTTACATACATCACCCTTGAGTTTCGAATGTAAAACTTTACAAAAGAAAATAATTGACTTCAATCGGTAGTATCGCGAAAGAAATATTATCAATTTGTGATGCTGTGTTTATGATTCATCGGTCACCCACGCACAAAATGACGTCGATACTTGTTCTCGAAAGAGAATATTGACTCATTTTCTCTTTTCTTCATAGCAATTCTGTATAAAAGAGAAAAGAAAGAATAGATCTCGAGTCATAAAAAAACGTTTCTTACTGTACGAACAAGCAGAGCAAGCAGCAAGGCATTTACTAAACCTATTAAATAATAGTGATGAGTAAGTTTCAATATTCTGAGTAGAATATTTGTTGTTTTCTAATATATATATTTGAATATTTTATATAGATTATTTAACAAGAAAACTTGAAGAAAAAATTGGCTTAGATTTGAATGGTGATGGTCGAATTGGAGGACCTGGAATAACTGCTAAACTTGAACAAGCAACTCATATTGATTTTAATCATGATGGAATTATTGGCGGATATAGACCACCACCGGGTGGAGGTAACTTTATCGGATACTATTTATTTAGCATAACTTTTTTATTTATTTATCTAACAGGTCTTATTGGTAAAATTGAACGGCTAACACATATTGATATAAACCGAGATGGATATATTGGTGGTCGACCTGGATATCATTGCCCTCCACCGCCATCTCATAACAAGAAACATTAATTAGTAATATCCATCAAATATATTGATAACTTGATACTGTTCGTTTTTTCTCATTTGGCAAAATTAATCTTCTACAACTGTTTGTAAATATGTTTGATACTTCTATTTTTTATTTTTATCAACTAATATTTGTCTCGCAATAAAAATATCTGACTTAATAATCTCAAAGAGAATTTTTCACTTCATTAATAAAACAATGAATCTGATACGGTTACTATAGCAAGTTGTTTTCTTGCGTTCGAGTTTCCTCTAATAATTTATCATTTTATGTATTCTTTTTACAAACGTTTAGAAACTCACATGTTTCAAAATTATATTTCTCTCTTTTGGCAGTTATATTATAAAAAAAAAAAGGATCTATTCAACTCTTGACGTACGAGCTACTAAACTTCATATCAATAGACAGTGATGATAACGATAGTATAAGATCAGACTACGTTCTTGGCTGTTTTGGTTGGCCGTAGAAAGGCCGAAAGGAAAAATACCGAAAGAAAAAACCGAAAGAAAAATATCGAAAAGGAAAAATGTCGAAAACAGAAAAGATAGAAAAAAGCGACGTCTACTAAGTGAAGGTTCTAATAGTTTATTGTTCATTGTTGTTGATCTGATTATTCCATTGGCTTGACAATGATAAACCTTGATACTATTGATAAGTAATATCTTATGAAAACTAGCTAAAATAGGCGTAAAATAGTATACAACGATTATAATTCTATCATGATGACTACAGCTTGCTCATTTTTATATGGTGACAATCATTCACCATCTCCAGTTATTTCATTTATTATGGGGCAAAAAGGAAAACCTTTGCTTGTATCAGATGAATATATTTTCAAACTGAATAAAACAACAACAACTAGTAAATACTGGATATGTGTATTTTTCTTTATAACTCTTATTTATCTATGATTTATGCTATGACGCTATTATGATTTCAAGAATAAAAACATCTTAGTGCAGTTTTTCTATATTTTTCCCTTTCTCTATTTTTCCTTTCGGTCTTTCTACGGCACACCGTTGTCTTCATAAAGCATCATTTATATCCAGTACGTAAGAATTTTTCTCATGGGAAAGTTTATAGATAGCTATGGAGGCCAGTAGTCAGTATTCTAAATCTATAAAAGACTTGATGAGAGGTTATATTTGTACAGTTCTTGTTTATCTAGGCGATTGTTCATTTCGAAATTTTTGCTGAAATCGATCAGAATGGAGTTTATGAAATTGAGTCCCGACTTGTAAGTCGATCGTTTTGATGTAACTTTTCTTAAAATTTTCTTTTCTGGTCTTTTAATACTTACTAAGCAAAGGAGATGATTTCGAAATCACATGGTAAATAGTAAATTTTAACGCCTACAAGTGAAGTTCTCGAATGACTTTGATTCTGGGGTAATCAACAATGCAAACAAACTTGAATCATTAACTAAATAAAATGCATATTTTGAATTCAACCGTTAAAATTTGGACTACAATAAATTTGATATGATTTTGTTTTCGACATAGTTTCAAAGGTTTGCTTGAGGATTCTCATCCGACATTTTGAATCCAAACATGTGCAACGATGTCACGTAGAATTATTATTTTCTAAAACATCTTTTCCCAATATAAAATTTGTCTATCGAATGATCCTAAAGATGAATTCTTCAATGTCTTGGGAAAATATGAGCACATATTGATCATGGGCAACATTTTGTATCCTTCGCACGCACACACACATATATTTTTCAAAAAGCACTGTTATGATATTCATATATGGATAAAATTTTCTACTCTATGACAATGATTCACAAAAAAAAAGAAATGTCTACATTCTATTATTCAAGTACTAATAATAATATGGATAACTCAACCAATAACATGCAAAGATGCAGTGATCGATTTTTGCATAACACAAACTTTCCTGAGAAAAAGTATAAATTTTTAATGTTTATTTTTTAGGTTGTTGTAAATCGTGTTAAAGATGTGGGTACTGTATCATTAAAAAGTGTTGCATAGGTGGTCTTCAATGAATTAATGTAATTTTGCATCGATCGATTGGCATTATTTGATTGTTCTAGTTTTTCACGTAATTCATTCATTTGAGATGTAAAATGTCGTTCGAGTTCATCTCGTTCTCGTTTTAATTGTGCGTGTTCAAGGTGAAGTCTCGAAGTTTGCTGTTCAAGATCAAATGTATCTTTTTGCAGAAAATTATTCTATTCAAAATTAAAATAAATTAATATTATACGAATACCGATGTTTAATGCGTACCTTTGAACCATACGTATCGTCTCGAACTTTAAAGTCTGGTCTTCTTAAATCATTCGGCTTATTCAATGGTGTTGTTTCGTATGATTTAGCATTTAGACGAATCTAAATAATATCGGATTCATTCGTCTTTGAAATTTCGAATTATATTTTTAAACTAATTAAATTGCCTATTTTGAATGAATGTTACTAAAATAATCAGTTGACTGAATTGACTGTTTCACTAGAGACGATTAGTACCTCATTATTTTGATCTAGGCCCCAATGATTGCAGCCATTTTATTGTTTGCGTTTATTTCAAGGAAAATTTTGTAGAATTCCTTTGTCTCACATATTAAATGCTTCTTCACTACAACTATAATTCAGGTCTACTTCACTGTACTTGGGGGATTATGGAAGGCTGACTTTCTTTCTCTTGGAGGAACCACATATTTTTTGGTCTCAGAACCGGAATTAGTTTTGTATATCTCTCATTTCAACATGATTACTTGTATTCAACACTCAGTCTGAAGACAATAGCTAGCTGATGTCAGCTATTGATAGATAATATTCTACTAGTTTTTCTTCATTTGAACAGTCTCAGTCGATAGAAATAGTTGTTATATTAAATGAACAAGAAATTCCATCAATATTTTACTTGTGCATTACGTAATTCTTCATCTTTTGCGTTAAGCATTTTTGATAGTTTTTGATTTTCTTCTTCTAAAGAAACTATTCTCCTAAAAAAAGTCGAAATACAATAAATACAGAGAAGAGACAAAGAAAAAATATTGATTACCGTTGTAGAGCTCGAATATCATCATTGGGTGAAAAACGAGTTTGTCTAGTTTGATCCGTACCAGGAGATTGTGCTAAGAAATTAGATTGTAGAGGTAAACGTTTTCTAAGTTCATCAATATCTTGTTGAAGTTTTTCTTTTTCTACTTCCGCTTGTTTCAATAATTCAGGTAATGGATCGAGCTCTTCAATACGTTTCTGTAATCGGCTACGAACTTTTTCTAATTCAACTTCCGATAAATGATTTTTACTATTATGAGCTGATGCTTGAAGTGTTCGAGTATGTAATTGTGCTCTACATTCATTTAACAATTGTTCAGTTTGTTCAAGTTTTTCTTTCAAACGTATATTTTCTAATTTTAGATCACCTGTTCCTGAATCGCTATTATCATCTAATTTTGTTTTCAATTCATTGATAAGATCATCGCGATCATTTAGCTCTGCTTGTAATCTTTCGATTGTTATTGCCTTTGATTTAGTTGTGACGCGAGATGGAGAAGGACAAGAATATATTGATTTATGTTTGACAGATCGATTCGCATTGTCAGAAGAGCAACGACCCCGTTGTAGATCACGCTCTAATGCCTATTTAGAAATAAGATAAATACGTTAGAAGAAGAAAACTACGACGTATTCGTAGTTTATTACCAGGAGGATTCCGAAATAAAATATCGATAAAAATGATATTATCTAGGTTGTTTGAGAAAATTTTCAAAAATGTTGTCGCATATTCCAGTTTGCTCAACATCTCATCAAATGTTTAAATAGATATTTTTGTCTTAGAATCATTTTGAAAGTTTCAAATAGAATTTTTATTCTCGTGACCTCCTCCTTGAATCATAAACTTCATTACGTCGTTTAGGAAAAGTCAATCGATATTTTTGTAAAAGTTAGTATTACTTAGAAAAACAAATGTTTAGCATCAATAGACACTTATAGAATTTAATATTTTCTTTGAAGCAATATGGTCTCGATTTGAGCCTTTCAAAACTACAATGCTTGAAGTAAACAATGATGTCCTTAATTACATAACATCCTTAGTGCTACGTTCTTCTTGATAACTTCATCTCTCTCTCTCTCTCTCTCTCTCTCTCTGGTGGACAGTAGTGTCTAATGATGGTTTTATTTCTTATGTCTTGACGAAATTAACGTACGAAACTTCACCCCGAAAAACATTTTCATTATTTCTATAAATCGAAAAGCAACCGATGCACGATTAACTGATATATAAAGCTTTATTTGCAAAGAATCTCTGATGTAATATTAGTTGAGTACATTTTTCGATTGTTTTGTATCTTAGTCAAAGTCATATTGCATAATTTTTTGTTCAATGAAAGAACCGATTCATCTAACAATCATAATATTGAACAGAAATCTATCTTACTCGTAAAGCACAGTGTAATCGATGAATTTCTCCTTCTTTTGTATATAATTCTCGTTGAAGGTGAGCACGATTTTGTTCTAATGATGTTTTCATTGTATCAAAACCAATTGAATGTGATCTTATGCGTTCAAGCTCTGCTAGTAAAGCAATATTGTCGTTTTCTCTATCAAGTAATAAACGTCTTATTTGTTCATTTTCATGTTCAAGTTCATGTATATGCGTTTTTAATGTATCAAATTGATCAAAAATGATTCCATGTTCAGCTTCTAAATGAAATTGATGTCGAAGATATTGTTGTACTTTACTATTTGAATGTTGAAACAGTTCAATCAAATGCAATAATTCGTTGCGATATTGATGCAATTGTTCAACTTCATATGAAACAGGTTGATCGTCCTAAAGGCACGGAGATGCTTGCATTTATGTACAAAAGAAATTTCTCTTCATTCAACTAACTTAAAAGAAGAAGCCATGTATATGTATATATATATTTATATTTATATAAATCAACGGTTTGAAAGTAGGAAAAAAATGACTTTTTTTTATACTCTTTACTTCGCTTATTTCATTACTAGGTCAAGTGTATGATTTAAGACATTTAGTTTAATTCGAAGAAAAGTCGATGAAGTTTTTCTTACACAAGTGATTAATTTCTCAACGGAAAAATTTCGTCAATATGAAATTTGTAGAAGCTTTTCAAATGCGTCAACTATTTTCAAGGATCTAACTAACACATATTAAATAGAAGAAACTCAAGGTTCTCTTTAGTTCTATAATTTTATTTTCATTTTTTTTAAACATTACGTAAAATAATTCGATTCTTTTTCTTTTATTAATTTAATTCAAATTTCGAATAGAGCTCTGAGAAACTTAGTTAATTATCTTCGTTTCTGATAATCTACATTAGAAATGAAGATTATTTCCTGTCCATGATGCTATTCAAGATTTTTATAATCCATAACTTTTATTACAGTAATGTAGTGGACACTCGAAGGATAAAGAGCAAGGACAATAAGGAAATCAAAAGCTTCCTCCCTTTGTGAAAATTAAGCCAAAGTGATTTTTGACTTTTCGGGAGTGCTAATAGCTAGTCATATCGGTTTACTAAAACTTAATTATAAGAATAAAGAGATGAAAACAGAACCCATATAAATTAAAAACATGGCAATGAATTAATCAAGTTCGAATCTGTTTACTCTATATAGAAAAAAGAACAAAGAACAGTAGAATTTTATGTTTTTTTGGCAACGAATAGTATTATTTTTTAATTAATTCCAATGTTAAAAAAATAGAAGGATTTTCAAAACTTAATTAATAGAAAATTAGTAGCTCGAGATATTCTATAGTTTGATATTGCTTCTATCAATGATTAGAAAACTCTTACAGTGGTTTATCAAACATGAGTTCTTAGAAAAATATGACTTACTAATCTAAGTTTTTTTAGTAAAGTTGTCACAGAAGATAATTTTTTTGTAATTTGTGAAATATCGGCTTCTGAATTCGATAATGTTGCTAATAATTGTTCTCGTTCCGGATTAAGATGTAATGGACCTCGTATAGGAGTTGAACTTCGTGCTCTTTGTCTAAAGGAAATCAACGTATTTAAAATGAAAACAAAAACTAGAAACAAGTATACCAGACCTTCGATTAATTGGATCATCTTGAAATGAAACTTTCGGTGTAACACTTCGTCTTCGTGGTTGTGGGTCAACGCTCGATGAACGATTCTTATTATGTGTTGGTGATAGCGATCGAGACCGAGTTGGTTTTGATCGTGGATTGACAATATGTTGAGAGTGATTTTGTTGAAATCTTTCTAATTCATGTAAAGATGAATCTATGTCCGAACGAAGTTGATCAGTTTGTTCTGAATTAGTACGTTTATGTACCTATTTTGATAATGACAAATAAAAATTAACGGAATTTTCTTTCTAGCTCACAAGCTCTTTGAGTATTCCAATGCCGTCAATTACACTTTGAATACGCTTTTCATAAACTTGAATGTCTGCCATCAATTTTTCTTTATCTTCTATTGAAAGAGTATTCGATTGAGAATCTGCGGTTGTATTGTGTTTATCACGTTCAGTATTCCAACTGTCTTCATCGTCTACAATGAACTCAGCAACTGGATTTATTTCTAAACGTGATTTTGGATTCTAAGATAAAAAAAAATTATAACGCAGTTAACAATAAAAATAAATGAATCACAAACTTGAAAAGAAACTTTTTGTCCTTTTGTTGAACGACCTGGTGCTGGAACCCTAGAAAGAATAGTATGAAGCAAGTTTGTTTTTCTTTTGAAAAACTTTATCAGTTTATTGTACCATGGTCCTCGATTTGGTGATGAACTTTGAGAACGATTTGGTACAGCTACTTTAGGAATAACAACTTGTTTAGGAATATGCGATAATGGTGATGATATGGGTTTTGTTTTATTTGTTTTAGCACTGTTAATAGCACGTGTACGTATTCGAAGTGCTTGTCGACCATGAGAATTCGATGTTTTAACATCTTTCAGCACTTTTGACCCTTCATATGGTTCGTTTCCAACGTAAACATCGACAGGAATAATGGCTTGCATCTAGAAACATACACAAATTGAGATAGACAACACCTCGATAATCGATTAGATTATTTTCTTTTATGTTTAATTAGAAACCATATTGATTTCGTTCTCATTCATAAACTAAGCTATGTCCTCTCTTCATGAAATACAACAGCGACATGACGAGATTGACATAGAGTGACATCTGATTAGATTTTATTAGAATTCAACAAAAGATTAATATTAGAGCAAACTATTCTAAAAATCTTGGAACATCAACAACGAAAAATGATTGCTATAACTCAGAGGCGACGGAAGTCATTCAATCCTTGAAACCAACAGTAGATAGGCGTATAAAAAACATTCAGAAATCCTTGAGGAAGCTAAGATGGTTGAGAGCAAAACGTGTTATATCCACGAAGGCGCTTAGGTACTGCTTTTTCGCTTACACACCCAGGTCGATTATCCTGAGTCGTAAACAGCCGTATACCTATCACTCACGGTGAAAAACGGCGGTGTGCCGATATTGATGGCACGCTTCGATGATTCTCCTTCCTTCTCTTTCTGTTCTCTTTCCCTTGTTCTAATGTATCTCTCTCCTATATATACGTGCGTTATGCATGAATTTGTTACACTCTGGAGATGTCAGATGACACAATACACCATCATGCCGATGGACATAGGCGACACTCTAGTTTTGTCGTTGCACTTTGAATAACTTGAAGTAGCCTAACAAACATCTTTGTCGAGTGGCGCAAGCTACTCTAATCCAGTTGTTTGTTACAGGCGGCCGTATTTTATAGTCATTTACTGTTATCGTAAACGGGATGTTACGATGAAATACGGTAGTCGTAAATGAGAATCGTGAAAAATCTCCGTAAACGGCCGTCGTAGCTAAACGCTAACTGTAAACGACTGTCGGGTATCACAGTAAACGGTCGGAACCGATGATCGTAAATGATTCAGGAAACGTTTGCCGTTTTTCTATCGTATACTTTCGTAAACGGTCGTTTACGATGACTAGCTGTTCGCTTAAAGTATAGTTGCATTTTTTAGATTATAGTTTACTCAAGCTATCTCAGTGAGAAGTATTAAGTGACCATCGTTTAGGTGAAGTTATCATCGTATTCGAGTAAAACCTGTCGATACTCATTTGAGCTGATTTTTCAAAGTTCATAGTCATATTACTACTAGAACTTCGTATACCCTATCGAGTAGTATATTTCGATTAACGAGATCTCGAACCATACTCCGGAAATTTTGAAAAATCCAAAAAATCCTGGTATCCTTTTTTTGTAAAATATGGTCATATTCACTTCGACCAATGTTCGACTCTCGTACCTATATGTTCCAAATGGAACTCGACGAATTCTATCCAGTGAAATTCGCATATTTTCCGCAGCTTGAAATCAAATTTCAGCAATGATAGAATAATGCTAAAGAAACCTAAAAAAATCCTACTATGAGCTATGAAAAATCTGTGGACATCATTAAATAGATCTCCGTGATCTGTGTTTATATCATGAGCGGAACGCTTATAGCAAGGCCTTTAACGAATATGCCAACTTTTAATCGAATATGGTGTTAAAATTTCATAGAAAAATACAGTATTGTGAGATTTTGGGACCATTATCATGGAGACGAAAAATCTGATTTTACAATTCGATGAAATTTGTTGAGATCTGTTTGATACACGAGTGTGAGAGTTGAAATATTTCTTTGAATGAATATTAACAGATTCAACAAAAGGAATTCCAGGATTTCTTTGGATTTTTCGAAATTGTAGGAGAACGCTTCGAGATCTAGTTAATTCAAATTACCATTTGATAGAACATATGAAATTTCACTAGGAACATGCGCATGCGCGTTGGAACATCAGCTCACAAGAGTATCGATAAGTTTTACTCAAACACGGTACTAATTTCACTTACGTGTGAAATCACGATTTCACTCCATCAAAAGTAGCACAATCTTACTACCACGGAAAAAACTAATGCAAATCGTATTTTTGATCTAAAGCACAGAGTTAATGATCAGAAGAAGTTCTCTTGGATATATATGAATATTACAAGAATAGACATTTATAATACAAACAAAAATCCTAAATCACAGTGTGAACTAGGAAATGCTGTCGATGAAGTTTTAAACGGTTTAGCATTAAGTGTTATTCAAACATTTATTAAAAAGACTCAAAAAGTATATAAAGAGTCTGTATCTTCATATTAGATTTCTTTTGTATTATAAATGTCTATTCTTGTAATATTCATATATATCCAAGAAAACTTCTTCTGACCATTGACTCTTTGTTGTAGACTAAAAATGCGAGTTGCATTCATTTTTTACGTGATAGGTGTAACGATAAATAGGACTCTTGCTAGTTGATGTATTAAGAGAAACTGGATAAAGACGGAGTAGCTTACCGCCACTCTAGGCAATGACGTTTATTGTCCTCTTCACGTATCCCAAATGTAACAACTTCATACATAATACACGTATATATACGAGAGAGATAGGAGAGAGACAGGAGAGAGAGAGATATTCGAACAATGGAAAGAGAACAGAAAGAAGAGGAAGGAGAATCATCGAAGCATGCCATCAATATCAACACAGTAGGTATATTCTTTCAAGAAGTATCGTTTTTCAAAAAATAATCGAGTGGATATGAATTTTGAACACACGAACAAGAGAAATCCAGTTTCAAATTAGAAATCAATACAATCATTTCCAAGAAGAGAAAATTTAATAGATTTTAATGAAAGAAAAATCCTATTAGAAGGATTCAAACCTTAAAAAATCGAAGAATCTGGCTCAATCTGTCATCAGAAGTTTGACTAGTTTTTATCATCTATTTTATTATCCATCACATGGAAATGCTATAATTTTCATCGCTTTGTAAGCCTGCAAAATCATTTAGCTAAGATTTTTTATGAGTTTTAAACATGGGGAATATACAGATGGAACATCAAAATAAACCGTAACACATCCACAGTTATCTATTGCGGAGAAAAATCTGAAATCCAGCGGTGAATTTCTGAACTACCCAGGAACATTCTCATAAATCAATCCATAAATCACACACTATAGAGTATTTCAGGTATATCCCCTGCTTGGAGTTCAAATAGTTAGTGTGAAAAACTTATGGAAACACCAAGAAATATTGCTTGAACTGGCAAATCATTTTCAATGTTACAGTGGAACAGTACCGTAAAGTCTGACTGGTATACTGATCAATGTTAAAGCTAACTCTCTATCAACACAATTATACTAAAAATTATTCAGAAACTAAAACTCTATACTCCAAAATAATCTGACAGCTCCTGCATTATTTCTATGATTTCTGCTTGTGATTTCTGACACATTTACAGGATTCTCAAATCTTTCATCATTTATTAAAAAGAAGTGTCATAAAACATCTGTTTTCATCCTTAACAGAGCATCTGCGACAAAGCCTATCATTTACGGGTCCTTTCACTGAAAAAATCGAAAAGCAGGACTTCTGGATCTTAACTGTTATGGGTAAGGACAGAAGACATGACGTGGGCCAACTTTTATCTAAAAATTACAAAGTTCACGAGATCATTTATCAACCTCGCCAACTCTTCACATTCACCTATACAAAGTTATTTCTGCTCTATTACAGTGCCACTCCGGATCTAAAGTTCGCCGAAGTCGGTTTCTGTCAACAACCAGACCGAAAAAAAATTATTTTTTACGATTTCAGTTCCAAATCAGAAACTGGAGTTGCTTGAATGCGCAACATTCAAGAAATTCTATCGATGTTCACTCAAGACAGCAGAATACATAGGTTCCGTATGATCTCTAGAAGCCTTGTGTCACAAAGATCCGGAAATTCCACTTGACCTCTCGCAATAAATCGAACAAAAACATCGTTTTCCCTTACAATCGAGTTAAACGTTGAAGCAGATCTATACTGAACATATTCCTACATCGAATTCCTGTTGAACACTGCTGAATAAATTCACTTAATTAAGAAAAAACAATCTTTAAAGATATTTCTACGATTGGAAAGATGCAATTGCATAACAAACATTAAGGAGACTTTAGTGATTTTTCTAATGTTTTCCGCCGATTTCCATGGCTGCCATTACTTATATTACGCTATATAAAAATTTTTGTATTTTTCTATCATGATCTTCACTGAAAGTCAAAAGCAATGATTTTTGACGACTTCCACTTAACCAATTTTCCTGTATCTCTTGCAGAAATACTCATCATTTAAAGATTTATTATTCTCGATACTATATGATTAATCGTAAATAACATCATAAGCACTTATTGTTGTTGATGCCAAATATCATTGCCGCAAATCATTACCGTTTTTCGATGAATTATATATGGAACGCATTGGTTTTAGCAGGATTTCTTTGATGCTCTTTGTTTCTTTTCAGATTTCTCATGATCCCTGCGGCAGGATGGAGCACAAATCACCAAATACGGATCTCTTGATACTCTCGATCTAATGCTGCTATCCACAATTCTCTACGATGCTTTCTTCGAAAGGTGATTTTAGCAGGATTTGTTCGGTGCTTTTTTGTATCTTCTTTTAGATTTCTCATGATTTTTGCTGTTTGATGCAGGAAAATCATAGAGAGTTAGCTTTAGATGTTCTCGGTAGATTTAGGGTATAGGCAGTGCTCCGAAAAGATCTGTTGGAAGTATGATTTCTGTGATTTTTGGTGTGATATGGAGTAGGTTTTTTGGCTGCTTGCATTTTTTTAGTGTGATTTCTATGGAAATGTAGTAGAATTGATGTCTGTAGTGTGCTCACTATCGATCGGAAGGGTTTATGAATGTATTTTTCTTTTTGTTCAGAATTACGGCCGTAAACGGTCCGTTACGATGTTGTTACGGTCGCATACGTTGCAGTGTTTGGTTGTTTCCTGTTTATGATACGGCCGTAATACGGCGCATACCAAAACGTTAAAATACGGCCCGTATACGGCCGTATCTAATCGTCATAATGCTCGACCTGCGTATTTCCTCATTTTTCATGGATATTTCCTTTCTTTCCGTTG